GATGACCAATTTACTTCTGCAGGAAGCTACATCCCAAAATTGATGAAAAGCTTGGGATCAATGGTGGCTTAGAATTAGAAACAACCGAGGACGTTTGGGTAGAAAATTTGGAAGGACAAGGCTGTACTTATTTCCTTCTTATGACATCTAGGGGATAATTGAGGTGAAAACTCCCTCCCTTACACACACACCCATACACATTTGGTTGATTTATAGTCTGACCAGTTAGTTTTCTTTCTTTAGGTATAGCGCGTCTTGTTGAAGGCAGTTAATGCTGCTCTTGAATTGTGGGCAGTAACTTGTTTTACATCAGTTCAAGCCGTTAATTTTTGAAGCTAACCTACGCTTATTTTGTTTGATGTGTTAAATAGTAGGAGAAGGTAGCTTTGAGATGCAAGAACTCATTTTTCAGAGTCAGAATAAAGCATCCATAATAAAAACGTTTACTCAAATTCAATTCAATTCGCATCTTAAATGAAATGAGAGGAGCATTTTGGGAAATTTCATACTAAAGGAAACCAGTTTGTTTAATATTATCAAAAAATAATTTCTATTTAATTTATTGAAGTTGGAGAGTAACACTTGCTTAATCCTATTTGGCCTCCACTGGAATTATAATTCATTTTTACTTTTTTCTTATTAATCACATATTATTTATTAAAATAATTTAGGCGTAATTTCAAAACATTTTCTTCTTTTTAAACTACACGTTCAACAAAAAAAAAAAAAAAAAAAAACTCTTTCAACCACTAAAATCTTAAATAATCGGGATGAAATGGGAGCTTAAATTATAGGGAAAATTGCATTGGTGATTCCTAATTTTTTTGTTTTTTACAGACTTTATCCTAACCTTCATTTTGTGTTAGTGAAAGTCTTTAATCTTTAATAAATATGTACTTGAGGTCCATCTGGATGGAAACTGTCCAAAATATCATTAGTTGACCAGAAGAATTCCTTGAACTATTTGTTTCCGCAACGATTTTATTGGATGTTTCCATTCAGATAGACCACATGTACATATTTATGAAAGGTAAAGGACCTTCGTTGGTATAAAATGAAGGTTAGGATAAAATTTGTAAAAAATGAAAAGATGAAGAACCGTTATTGCAATTTTTCCTAAATTATATGATAAGACTGAGAAGACTATTCCAATCTCTAGGTTTAAAAGGTAAAGCCAGCCGACAAAAAGGAAAATTGCAATGGATTTTCATGACCTTTTCAGCCGCCAGAGTTCCCGTTCAATTCCCAAAAGAAAAAAAAAAAAATAATAATAAAAGAAAAAGAAAAAGAAATGCTATATTCATAAATTATTATATTTTGAAAAAGAGATTAATAAATAATAAAATTTAAAATACTGTAAGATCGATTAGTAGAAGATAATCAAAGAATATATATTTTGTCGATAATCAAATTATTCATTTATAGGTTGACTGGTAATTATGGTAGAAATATTCACTAATTAATATTCAGTTCATAATTTTGGAGAGACACTGGTCAAAAATCGAGCCTAGCGATTACCGAGAGAGGGAGTGATGGAGAGCGGCGCCATTTTTACAGGGCTACGCCCGAACATAATTCCTCACCACCACCACCAGCTCTGCCCTTCACGAAGCACTATTAAGCTTCTTCCCCCGCTTTACAGTGGCAAAAGACACTTCTATAAGGTACCGTGAAATCAGATCAGCGGCAGTTTGTGTTTTTCTCGTTTTTTACGTTTTTAATCATTTGTCAATCACATGCATTTTGTTTTAATTTATTAATTTATATGTATTGGAGAAGCAGAACTGATTTTTGTTATTTGATTGGAATGCAAATGTACGCAGCTCTCGAAACAATTGCACTTTGCTTGTTTTAGTGACAATAGCGGTAAAAATGTTGATACTCTTCAAGTGGCCTCTCCTTCTAGGTACGCTTACTAGGAAATATTTCAATTTAGAGCCAAAGTCTGGTTTTAATTTGTGAGCTTGATTTTTCTTGTTCAATAACTGGGATTATTGAATATTCAATTTTGGCAGCAACGTGGTGCCAGAATTAGCCGACATTGATTGGGACAACCTTGGATTTGAGTTCATGTCCACTGATTATATGTATATGATGAAATGTTCCCAAGGTGAAAACTTTTCTAAGGGAGAATTACAACGTTTTGGGAACATTCAGTTGAGCCCATCCGCTGGGATTTTAAATTATGGACAGGTAAGTTTTGGCTTGTACTACTACTGATATTGCAGGTTCTTTCAGTGTGTTTATAACTTATTTGCGTCAGTTTGCTTGATTTTTTCAGAATTAATTTTTTTTTTTAAATTACTTTTAGGGGTTGTTTGAAGGTTTAAAAGCTTATCGAAAGTATGATGGTAATATTTTGCTCTTTCGGCCCGAGGAAAATGCTCTCCGATTAAGGATGGGTGCTGAGCGTATGTGCATGCCTTCTCCTACCGTAGAACAGTTTGTTGAAGCTGTAAAGGAAACTGTTTTAGCAAATGAAAGATGGGTAATTCAACAGTTTAGCAATTCAATTAAGATTTTATTTATTTTATTTTTGTGTAGTGGTGTTTAGACAATCAATTGGTTTTATATTGTTATTTTATTTCAGATTCCCCCACTGGGTAAAGGTTCTTTATATATAAGACCATTGCTTATGGGGAGTGGAGCTGTTCTAGGACTTGCACCAGCTCCTGAATACACCTTTTTGATTTATGTATCTCCAGTGGGAAACTATTTCAAGGTATGATAGTCATCTCTTGAATGCTCACTCAGCCATGATACAGTGTCGCCTCTTGAATAATTGTCAAAGATAGGATTCAAAAATCTACACAGATAAGTCAACTTTCTTAACTGCTTTTCGGAACTTTCCACCTATAGTCAACCCAAATATTCACGAATTAGCAGAAATAATATCAGATTTTGAGGATGCTTGGTCTTTGAATGGTAATTATATAATTTATAATTTGCAATCATATTCCTAAATATACGGAAAGATAGCCAAAAGCAGCTAGCATTACGCAACTAAAAGAAGCAAATAAAAATGACGAAAGGACCTAAAGAAGACTGGAAGCATATATTGATCTTACCGTCCACGAACATTTGATGTTTTCTTTGAGTTGTACTTACTTAGTTATAGTATGTTCTGGTGTTGCATTTAATAAAAGAATAGGTTGTTTAACTTGCTTGGTTTGGCACTGCAATCTTAATCAAAGCCTGTCCTGATATAAATTTTGGCCTTTTAAGTACAACTGATAACGCTTAGTCATTTACTTAAAGAACTAGTCACTCTATGGATGTGGACCTCTTATCATTTTTGTGTTTTGAAAATCAGTTTCTTCTTTGATCAATAGCGTACCTCCTTTACAATTTTTATACAGGTTTCTACTGCCACTTCTTTATGTCTATCAGTTACTGTGTGTTTACTCTTCTGCAGGAAGGTTTGGCACCAATACATTTGATTGTTGAAACTGAGATGCATCGAGCGACACCTGGTGGTACTGGGGGAGTTAAGACTATAGGAAATTATGCTGGAGTAAGCTACTCTCTGTTGATTCTTCCTCTCCTTTGAGTTTGCTTGTATAGAGCTTTTCCTTTAAACTTACTAGCATTCTAACTTTACTTTCGCTATGATCTGCCTAATAACTTAATGATTCTGCTTTCTCTTCCATCTGAAGGTTGGTAGATATTCATGATATTCTATGCTTCTCCCCTCTTGTTTATTTTCTCATAGTTCCCTTTTTAGCGAGGTGCTTAATTTTCTATTGATGTTCACACATTAAATTCTTGCTTAACCAGGACTCAAAGGGTGCTTAGCTACCTGTTACTGCAATGCATTCATACCCGCTAACCATATTCTTTGAACTCTTGAGTTATGAACTGCCACTATATCGAGTATAATGGGGATGATTTAACATTTTTAGATACCTTATGCTACCCCACTATATCCAGGAAAGGGAACCTTGTTAACTAAACTAAGGAGATTCTTTTGTTATTCTAGTATTCAAATATGGTTTCTGGGTATTCTGATGCATCCTTTCTGTTTTCTGCACTGCATTTTGTAGGTTCTAAAGGCCCAGAGTGCGGCAAAAGCAAAAGGTTTTTCTGATGTTTTATATCTGGATAGCGTTCATAAAAGATATCTAGAAGAGGTGTCATCTTGCAACGTATTTGTTGTGAAGGTACACTATTTTTTGAATTAGCTCAAAATACATCATATATGCTTGAACATTTTCAATAATGAGATAAGTATGTGATTATTCTTGACGCTGAGGCAAAAAAAAAAAAAAAAATTTAACATGGAATAAGATTTTGACCTCTAGGAGATGTTGGACAAGTCACATTCTTTTAGTTTTATTGAAGGCTAAAAGTCCTAACTCCTAATGTGACCATGGGTGTAAATGTATGTGAATAAAGTATTACATACCTCTCTAGTAGCTTAACCTGTTAATAATTCCTCATCTACTGAACTCTTGTCATATTATTGCTTTAATTATAAGTTGTTCGATAAACAATTATTTATGTTGCATTTACTTCAATCATGGGATTTGAAACTGCCTTCCGTGAGGTCTGTTTCCCAAAGAGTTTGTGTTTTAAAACCTATCATGCAAGTATACACCATCTCCTCCCTTATCATTGATATTGTTGAACTGTGGTTGCGTGATACACATTCTCTAGTAATTTCAATGCCATGGAGGGCCTTAATCATCATGACATCACATCGTACCATTGCTTCCAGGTTCATTACATTGGACTCCAACATGTAAATGCATATTGGTGTAAAAATATTTTTGGACTATTAGGTAGTATTGTGAAGGTTCTACGTATGTATAAACTTTCCGAACACCAAGAATATCTGCCAAAAAGATTGTAATGTCCACATTGCCACTAGAATATATTTAAAAGCACATAGCACTGGGATTGAATTCAATCAATTGGAGATCCTCTTTTAACAATTGAGGAGGGAAAAATTGAGTTATTGCACTTGTGGACAATGGGAGCCACCTTGGAATATGGATAAGCCAGTATCAATATTTCCCAATGGAAGCCACCTGGGCTCAAGATTTTGTTGGGAGAGATCCTGTTGGTACTATATTGGGACTCAGATGAAATGGTAAGTCTCTTCCTAGAGTATATCAGGAAGCTTAGCAATAATTAGGGGTATCCTTATTGGTGGGCATGGCCGATATAAAATCACGCACTTGGTTTGGTGACCCGTGTTTGGTCCTGCTGCGACACTCGTACGCATGAGAAAGTTGGAGTATCATTTTACACACTATTAATTTAGATAAGATATTTATTTTTCTAAATGTGAACCCTTGGAAATTCTTACGCTGAACAATATTATGTAAATTACCATTTTGACTCATGATGCATTAGCCTCAATTCCATTTAATGTCCATAGCTGGGAAGGTTTCATAGGTACACAGTTGTTTTGCAATATGCTGCTTACATTGGTCAACTGTAAGCTCATTATACATTTCTGTCCAAATAGTAAACATCGTACTAATTTTTGTCCAACTTATTTCTATATGAAAATATATGTTCTGTGTATGTACTGCTTGTGTTTCTATGAACTGTCACAAAGGTAGAAATGTAAAAGCTAATCTCAAATCAGTTCATTTTGGTTACAGGATAATGTGATAGCTACTCCCTCGATAAAAGGGACCATCTTACCTGGCATTACACGAAAGAGTATAATTGATGTTGCTGTTAGTCAAGGATATCAGGTAATTGCTGAGCTTCTAAAACATTCAAATTGCATTACAGGATATAAGCTTCTACTGGCAACTAAACATGGGTCATCCCCTCCAGGAAAAAATATGGTTTCATACGACCATGCTAATTCCATGGTTGGACAACTTCTTGTAGTTTCTGAGAGGGGCAAATAATGCTCTCGCAACGAACTTCTTTCAACTTTCAAGCAGAGTATGCACTATATATATATATATATGAAAACTTTTATGAGCCCTTATGGATAAATCATCAAATTGCCACCCTTCCCTTCAGCTGATTAAAAAAAATACAGATGCCATATTGAACTTTTGGCACTAGTCCTTTAGTTTGTCAGTGGACCAAGGTGAAGGGCTCATTCTGCTAGATGTTTAGTAATTTCTCCACCAACCAGGATAAAAAATATCATCAAGGGATCATAAAAGTTTATAATTGTAACCTCCCTTAGCTTAGTGCGTGATAGGGTTTTTTCTTGATATGTAGGTTGAGGAGCGGTTCGTAGCAGTTGATGAGTTGCTAGATGCTGATGAAGTTTTCTGTACAGGAACAGCCGTGGTTATATCCCCCGTGGGCAGTATAACTTATCTTGGTAAAAGGTAATTTCTATCTTCTAGTTGTACAATGCTCTATGATAATTAACTGTAAGGATGAACTTGGAATTAAATAAAACGCAATCTAGAATCTATATGCCTTTTCTGTAGAACTGGTAATTATCCCCTCATTCTCACTTTTTATGTTATTTTTCCTTTTACCTTTTAACCTATTTATCCATCTAAGAATTAGGAATTCCTCTTGTTTCCATTTTATTTCTTCCCGAGGCGTGTTGACGAGGGTATAGTACATGCAAGAGGGAGATCTGATTTTTTGCACAATGTGATTGTCTTGCGTATTCACCTAAAACTATTTGCTGCACTACAGTTAATTGTTTGTGAACTGGTCTATCCTTTTGAACGCTAATGTAATTCAAGCATCAGTGATGTTGTGATCATCTTTCCTAGCATCATTTTATGTGCATGTCCTCATGGGAGGCGCATCACTATTCACCAATTATATGTTTGGTGAGGTGATTGGATAGTAGTGGACTTCAATAAAGAAATAAACGAAGTTAATTTATTGTCTACTATATTATCCAATTCCTATCTAGAACTCCATATTAAACATGCGTCTTGAATGGCGTAAACTTGAAAAGATGAGACTGTAGAATGTATCCAGAACCTTGAACATGGAATCGTGGCTTGAGCACGCTGTGCAGGGCTGAGAAAGGAAAATTGTGTATGCAAGTCTTTCCTCCAAAGCCACACAATCATTTGTGAAAAAATTGTGGTCTTTTATGAGCTTGAATGAAAGCGCCTGAGGAGCCCGCTGTTCTGGTGCACGGCAGGGGTGGAGCCAGAGATTTTGCTCAGTGCGGGTGCAATTTTAGATATTGGCTGCAGTGATTTTTTTTTTTTTTCAAAATTAGTTTATGAACGAAAAGAGCTTCATGATCTTAGGCAACCCTGGTGCATAAGAAAACATGAGCATGATCTTGAAAAATCCTAGCGCATAAGAAAACATGAGATTTTGAACAACTACAATGAGATTTTTTAATCAGAAAACTACTATGACTTTGATTTAATATTCATATAAAGATGGAGATGAATTCTCAAAAAAGTTTGAAGGTTTGAGATTGGGATAAAATAGGGAAAGATATTTTGTAATTAATCTGGATATGAGCTCTAATTATGGAGATGTGAGGTTTTAAATGGAGTGTACTCCCATTAGATCATGTAAAATTAAAAAGGAAATTTTTGGTCCAATTAGTGCATTGGTTTTTGTTTTTTTAATATAATAATATATTTCTTTACACACACATGTATGTTGAATTTAAATCACAAATCAAATAGAAATTTATTTAAGAAATAAACTTACACAAATTTTATCTCAAATGTGTAAATAAACTCCACACACACACAGCACTCAATTCTCAATTATTTCCACTCATTATATTTCTTACACTTGTGCACTCTCTCTCTTACTTTCACATACACGTTCCTGCCCCTCCCTCCCCTCTCTCTCAATTATCTCCACTCACTATCTTTCAAACACTTGTGCACTCTCTCTCTCTCTCTCTCTCTCTCTCTCTCTCCCGCTCACATTCATTCACCCACACAGCCAACACATGTACACACACACACACACACACACTGAGACTTTGCATCTCCAGGAGGTTGCAGGAATTCTAATGGGCGAGCAAATTCAAACATTTGAATCGCAAATGACTTAGATTCATCAAATCAAGACCTTAGAATCATACCTTAAAAACAAAATCCCAAATGAAGAATCAATTGTCCAGTTTTTCTTAAAATTCAGTGCAGACACCTTCATGAGAGCTCCAGTTTTTCTGAAAGTTCAGTGCAGGCAGTGGCCTACACTGGACTCCATGTAGCTCCGCCCCTGGTGCACGGTATAGAAGTTTGTAACAGCATTTATTGTACCTTGTGCAGAGTGAGTTATGGAAGAGATGGAGTTGGCCTTGTGTCGCAACAAATATATTCAGCACTTACTAGCCTACAAATGGGACTTACAGAGGATAACATGGATTGGATTGTTGCGCTGAAGTAGCCCCTACTCTCCAATTACCCCCCCCCCCCCCCCCCCCCCACAACACAAAAAAAAAAAAAAAATAAGCGCTTAGTTTATAATCTTTTTCTTGACTTTGTGAAGCGATGACTCATGGTGGTTCAACCGGATTTCCAATCCCCCCCCCCCCCCCCCCCAAAAAAATAAATAAATAAATATATAAAGAAAATGGAGTTTAATTTGTGTGGACTAAGGTACCATCTCATGTCATTTGTTGTTTTGCTCATAACATTGATACTCTCTGTTTATTAAAAGACGTTATTTGATATTATAGGATTCTTATGTTATTGTCTTTTGTTTAAAACCACTGTTTTGAAGTGAACCTCGGAAAACGGTGAAACATATGGGATAAATATAGCCTTTTCACTTAGCTGCTACTTTTTTGGCAAATTATTTGCAAGGGAATAACAAGTTATTCTGCATCTTTTGCATTAAGTAACGATGTGACGTAGCTATGACTATCGTTACTACTCACTAGCCACAACTTGCTAGTGTTTAGTTTTTAGTGACAGATTGTGCAAAATTAATTTTAATAAAAAACGATGTGTACAGAAGGATGTCTCACAAAATTCGTCTAGACACCCATATCGGTGGGTACCATGGTGTAATAAAAAAAATGCGAAAAAAATCATCCAACCCTTATTGTGAGTATTTTGTGGCATTTTTGTGAACTAAATTTTTGTACTTACAACATTGTTGAATTTTAATTCACTAGTCACCTACAATGATGCTATACTACCTTGCCTCCCTCTCTCGTATCTTTGATTTGCTTATGAAGCAGAAAACTTTGTTCTTGAAAGTTTGTTTATTAGTTCGAGAAATATATAATTATAAATGATCTAGATAATTATACAAAACATGTCTTAAAAAGTAATTGTTCCATTTATACCAAAATAACATGCAAAATTTTGAACTATAGTAGCAAAGTATTGTGAATTATCGTTGGTCTCAAATCTATATGGATTTGTCCATTGTAAGTGATAATAGTGATAGTTATATTTCCACGTGTATTCTTGGTAAACATACAAATAGTTGTTGAGTATTTGACCTTTTAGCATTTTTTAATAGCATCTAAAGAAAGTCATTTCAGAGTATAAAAAGAATTTATTTATTTATTTATTTATTTATTTTTTTGGCTGGTTTTTTAGGAATAAAAATCAATGTCGGAGAACGTCGGGTTATTGAATAAGAGTGTTTATTACAAATCAAGTGTAATTAAGAGTCTAGATTTTTTTACGACTTTAACAGAAAAATGACAAAAATTTCGAAAGTGTCGGTCCTATTACACTGAATATGGGGAGATCATAAGCAACTCGAATGCTAACCAAATCTGCTTTACACTTTTGGATTGCGGTGACCAACCTTTAATGTACATGTTTAAATGATCAATGTTGAAGGCAAAAAATGTTGCACGATTGTACCTAAGGAAATTTATTTAACTTAAAACATTACTAGAATATATTTGGGCAAAAAAAAAAAAAGGAGAGAGAGAGAGAGAGAGAGATAACTACCAAATAAAATTTATTTGAGACTCAATTAAGCTTAATTATTATTGTTTTAGCGTATTGTTGAATGTAGTCATGAGTTAAAGAATAAAGTTGTTAAAGTGAGATAAATAGTTATTGAAGAATTTCTGTCAATAAATGGTACATGACTTTTACTAGGGTAACACTATCAAGTACCTCAAACAACATATAATTTATTCAAAAGAGAAGAAGTTTATTTTATTTTTTTCAAATTTTTTCAACATTACATTTCGTACCTCTAACAATTTAAGCTTTATTTATAATAATAATGTGATGTTCAGTCAATTGCAGAGACTAAGGAGTTCACTTTGTTAGATAAACTTCTTAAAAAATATAAGACTTTTTCTTGAAGCTGTGTTTTCAAATTTTCACACATGATTTTTCTAAATAACCTTTGACAAATGTAGAAATTGAGCACTCGTCCTTTTTGTTTGGTTCCTCACTTCTTCTAGTGCATTAATTAGTTACAGATTATTCAATGCAAACAAATCTTCTTTTGTCTCAAATAAAGTATTTTAATAACTAATTTTCATGATTTATAATTTAGATAATATCAGAAGAAATTAGACTATCCATTGTTTGGTAGGTGTAGAGAAGCAAATGAGAAAGATCTTGGTCTACGGTTCTTTAATTAAAATTGCTTCATTAATTTATACATAAAGTCACATCTTTTTCCTCTCCACTTCAGGAAATTCCAGTGATAATTCCATCCCATTCCCGTGTTTCTTCTTCTCCAACTATTATATATGGTACTGCACTATCATTTGCATGTGATATCAAGACAAACCTACACCAACTTCAAAACAACAAACGCCACATTTCACAACCCCACCCTCAGCAGATATGGTGCTAGAATTAACAGACATTGATTGGGACAACCTTGGTTTCGGGTTCATGTCCACTGATTATATGTATATTATGAAATGTTCTCAAGGTGAAAACTTTTCTGAAGGAGAATTGCAACGTTTTGGGAACATTGAGTTGAGCCCATGTGCTGGGATTTTAAATTATGGACAGGTATTTATTTATTTTACCACTTCTTATTGTACTTTCTTTCAGTGTGTTTATAATTTATTTGCGTCAGGTTTGCTCCACACTTACTGAATTAATTTTCTGAAAAATAACTTGTAGGGCTTGTTTGAAGGTTTAAAAGCTTATCGGAAATATGATGACAATATTTTACTCTTTCGCCCTGAGGAAAATGCTCTCCGGTTAAGGATGGGTGCTGAGCGTATGTGCATGCCTTCTCCTACTGTAGAACAGTTTGTTGAAGCTGTAAAGGAAACTGTTTGAGCAAATGAAAGATGGGTAATCCGACAGTTTAGCATTTCAATTTTCAATAACATTGTATTTACTGATTTTTGTGTAGTGGTGTTTGGATAACTGAGTGGTTTTATATTGCTATCTTATTTCAGATTCCCCCACCGGGAAAAGGTTCTTTATATATAAGACCATTGCTTATGGGGAGTGGAGCTGTTCTAGGACTTGCACCAGCTCCTGAATACACCTTTTTGATTTATGTATCACCTGTGGGGAACTATTTCAAGGTATAATAGTCGTCTCTTGCATGCCTGTGAAGCCATGATGATGTTTCCATTTGAATTTCTGGCGAAGATAGAGCTCAAAAATCTATATGGATAAAGTCCAATTAACTTTTTCTTTTCAGCTGCTTTTCCAATCTTTCCACCCATTGTCATTGCAAATATTCATGAAATAGAATAAAAGAAGCATAGGATTTATGTTACTATACGAACATTCGATGTTTTCTTTGAGTGGGATGTAACAGTAATTTCTTAATTATTGCTTGTTCTGCTGTTGCTTACAATCAAAGAATAGTATATTTGGTTTGGCAATCTATATCACCTTTAAGATTTCATTACAAGTTTCTACTGCAGACTTCTTGATGTCTCTCGGTTACTTTCTGTTTACTCTTTCGCCAGGAAGGTTTGGCACCGATACATTTGATTGTTGAGACTGAAATGCATCGAGCTACACCTGGTGGTACTGGGGAGTTAAAACTGTTGGAAATTATGCTGGAGTAAGCTTCTCTTTTTCCTCTACATTACTAGCATACTAAACTTTACTTTCGCTAAGGTCTGCATAGTTTGTCCCTGTTGGCCCCCATTCTTTGGAAATGAAAATCGGTGAAAGTTTTTTTTTGAAAAATGAGTGGTTGAAAAAATGAGGAAAAGTTTCGACTTACGTGTAATATTATTTTATGGAAGATTGTGTAGTTGAAAAATAGGAGAGAGAAAAATGGAATGTAATGTTAGTAAATATCTAATCCATCTAAACATGCTTCAATAATCCGAAAGGCATATGGATCAAATGCGGAATGAAATGGAATCGAAAACATACCTCTAGCCATTGCTACTCACACACGTTCAAGGATTCGGATTTAGGTGCTTCTAAACCTGACTCAACCTCAATTAGATGGCGTATTTTCAACTGTAAGAGATTGAAAGGCTTAGGAACCCAACCGGTGGAAACATCTGAATATATATATGCTCTATCCATCATAGAGCAGTTTTCAACCGAACAAAACGTGGGAAATGCAGTTGGAATATGTGGACCACATTTAGATTCGGTTTTGTCATTGAAATACCGAACTTCATGGAAGAAAAACTAACATGTAATGTAAAGGAAATTAATGAGATTCAAACGGGGTAAAGTTTCTTCATTCTCTTCCATCTGGAGGTGGATCAGACATCCATGATATTCTATGCTTCTCCCCTCTTGGTTATATTCTCGATTTTCCTTTTTAGTGAAGTGATTAATTTTATGTAGATACTCACATTGCTTTGAAACTGCTAAGAAGGATGGAAGGTGACTTTACATTTTTAGATACCTTATGCTACCTCGCTATGTCCAGGAAAGACAACCATGATAGCTAAACTAAGGATTTTCGCTTTTTTACTCTAGCACTCAAATATGGATTCTGGTTATTTTGATGAATCCTTTTTTTTTTTTTTTTTTTTTTTTTTTTTTTTTTTTTTTTTTTTCCTTTTTTTTTTTTGCTCTGTATACTGTAGGTTCTAAAGATGCAGAGTGCTGCAAAAGCAAAAGGCTTTTATGATGTTCCGTATCTGGATAGTGTTCACAAAAGATATCTAGAAGAGGTGTCCTCTTGCAACATATTTGTTGTGAAGGTACACCATTCGTTGAATTACCTAAGAACATTCTCAATAATGAGATAATTATGTTATTATTCTCGATAGTGAGGTTTTAAAAAAAAAAAAAAAAAGATTGTGCTGTTTATGTTTCTAGTACTTATTCTGTAATTGGATTGCATAATGAGGTGTAGATGTATCTGAATAAATGGATTGCTTAACGTGTAACGTGAATTAATGAAACCTATCACGATGCAAGTATACACAGTCTACTTATCATTAACACTATTGGATTATAATTGTATGATATGTAAGTATTATGCCCTAGGTCCAATCAACTTTAGATATAAATGTTTTTGATATATAATTAATGCAATTTAAT